AGACAGAGGAATAGAAATTTAGAAATTTAGCAGATTTTGAAGTTAGAAATCTTCAAAACCCAGCCCCAGAAGAACGAAAATGAACAACAAAACAAGAAACAATAAATCAATCTGGACATCTCTTTGATATATCTTTCTGGCCTTGGGCCTGTGTGTGTATGTGTGGTCCACATCGGTGGTGTTCTTTTGCTGGGTGTGAGACCCACAGAAAGTGCTTGTTTGCATGTTTATCTACTTGCTGTGATGACACGGAACCCAGGGTCTTCCCCCTTTGTGTTGCAAGACCTCCTCCACTGGGCTCCTCTCAAGCCATCACATTTTGTTCTAACAGACAGTGAATCAAATGCCCCTGCGTGGGAGCAGAGGAGGGGCCTGCGCCTTCTGCCTCTGCCGTCACTGCTGTGAACACGGGCAGCTAAGCGAGGCACGCTTTGAGGCACCGAGATAGATGAACAACAGAGGAGCAGTATAAACCGTGGGTTTCTCAGTTTGCCTGTGAGCTCTATGCTCTGAGGTCATGTGTGCTGTCCCAGAGAGTGCGGGGGCGGGGGGGCCCCCGCCTGAGCTCAGGCCTGGCACCGAGGACAGCGGAAAATAGACCTGCGGGGTTTTCGATCTTTCCAGCTGTGGCCTCCTCGAGACCTGTGTGGGAATTCAGCTCTGTGGAAACCTTACAGCTTTGCGACTACCGTCCCCTGGCCAAGAGCCTTCTTTCTAGGCCAGGCTTGCCTCCTCAACCTCTGAGGTTGTGGCTAAAATCGCCTCTCAGATCCGGAAGCGAATGGATGAGTTCCTTGCCTGTCTGACTCCCCTTTAGTCAGTCTCTTGTCAGATCTTGTCTTTCCCCGCAGATGTCCACCTTGGACTTTTAAATGCTGCTTTTAAGTCTGTCTGCTGCAGGCCCACTCCAGTACGGAGTGGGAAATGGGGCTATTCTATAGGGTGGGTGGTGACAGCCCGTGCAGCACCCCTCTGTCCCCCAGCAGCTTGCTGGGCTCTTCTTACTTTGAATTGCCAGGGCCCATGAGCCCCGATGTCCTCCCTCCCTCTGACAATTAGACACCAGTCAAGTGTGAAGAGGAAATCTGCTTTATTTGTCATTCTTTCTGGGGTGGCCATGGGGGGTGAAGGATGAATTCTAAAGGGATCTCCAAGAGGGCTCAGCGCTCAGAGAAGGCAGACTCAGGGTCGCAGGCGGGGTCCACGCGGCAGCCATCTGCAAGAAAAATGGGTCAGTGGCCTGAGCGGCAAACCCGAAGGCTCCCTGCCGGGCAGTCCTGCCAACCCCCTTCTGCTCACCCAGGTTGCAGCAGACGCCCGCTGCGGCGCAGCGGCCCCCGCTCCCGCACGGCTTCTGGCCAGACTGGCAGGGCGAGGGCAGGTAGTTCTCCTCCTGGCAGCGCAGCGCCTCGGCGGTGCCCACAAAGCAGCCCAGTTCGTCGGCGCAGCAGATGTTCGGCCCGAAGCAGCGGCCTTTGCCGCCAGGGCCGCAGGGGAGGCACTGCGGGGAAGGACGCGAGTGGGCGCGGTGCACGGTCCTCGGGCCACGGTCCCCTATCGGGACGGTGGCCCCAAGAGGAGCAGTGGGTGCTCAGGCGTCGTCTCCGCCTTCGCGGTGTCAAGCGGGAGCCTAAGCCTTGAGGTTGGGGTAGGGCGGGCAAGAGTGCAGGGATGCTCTCTGCGGATGGGAGTCTTCTCTGGTCCTTAGCGCTGCTGGGACCGGACCAAACGGGGAGACTCACCTTGCGCGTGTCCAAGTCCAGCGCAGCCCTCTTGCCGCCCAGGGGACAGTTCTGGATGTAGCAGGCGGAGGTCAGAGCCAGGAGGCCAAGCAGGCAGCAGGCGAGACTGGGGCAGGCCATGGCGTTGGTTGGTGCTCAGTCCGAGACCCACCAGAAGTGATGGTTTCTCCATCCCAGCCCGGCCTTTTTATGTCTGGGCACTGCCTTGGCGGAGCACTGTCTTAAGAGCGCGACTGCATGACTGGTCACAGCGGGTCACTGCGGGTCAAATCACTCCACACCACTCAGAGGCAGGCCCTTCATTTTCAGGGTCTAGGCTAGGGTCAAGGTCACCGCCTCAGCTAATGGACTGGAGCCTGAAAGCAAGGGGTGCGTGAGTTAGAAGAGGACGGAGAGAATTGGGTGGGGTGTGGAGGTGCAGCCTAGCCTGGAGCTATTTCCACAGATGTCCAGGACGGCAGGATGGGGCAGGAGAGGGAGAGTGGATGTGGGAGCCCTTACACGTCCCTGAAACTAGGATGGGGAGAATGATCCCATCTTCCTTCAACTTCTGAATGCAGTGCAGCCCTTTTCCAACTAGACGGCAAGACAAAATATCAATAGAGGTCAAAACTAAATAAACCAAAATAAGAGAAATTCTGTCTCAGAATTCTTTATGTAGACCAGGCCGGCCTTGAATTCACAGTGGTTCACCTGCCTCTGCCTCCTCCCAAGTTCTGGGATTAAAGTTATTCAGCACCATGCTAGGTGCCTACACCCCTGTTTGCGAAAACACTTGCCATTAGCTGCCAGAGTGTGCCCAACAGGCGACCTCAGCTGCAGACTGCCACCTGGCCGAGGTCATACCCTTCCCAGGTGGCCACATAGAATGGTTAGTTCAATTTGGCACAAATGCTGGGCACCTCTGGCTGCATTTCCCCTGTGAGCTGTAGGTTTGCTGAGGTCTGCATGGGAGGAATGCCTCATGCAGCTCATTAGCAGACTGTGTGCCTAGTGTGAGAGACCTCGGGTCCAGTCCCCAGCATGACAGCATTTTGAAAACAATTTTTGCATTATATTTTTAATTTTTATTCTTTTCTTAATAATTAATTTTTATGTGAATTGGTGTGAAGGTGTCAGATATCCTGGAACTGGAGTTACTGCCTTATGGGCGCTGGGAATTGAACCCGGGTCCTCTGGAAGAGTAGTCTGTGCTGTTAATCACTGCACCAGCCCTCCAGCCTCTTTTTTTTATTCTTATTTATGTGTATGCTTGTGTTTGTAGGTTTCCTTGGAGGCCAGAAGAGGATGTTGGATCCCCAGGAGCTGTAGTTAGAGGGGGTCGTCTGTCGATCTATGTGGGGCCTCTGCAAAAGCGGTATTCACTCTCCAGCTCCTGCTTTTTGCATGTTTAACACAGTTTAAAAGGAAAAATATTACGGCAGGAAGGCATGGAAGATTCAACCCCTGTATTTCCTGGCTGAGAGATAAAATACAGATCTCCAGCAGGGACCAAAGCCTCACTGCCTGCTTTGGGGGCTTACCTCAGTGACCTGGAGACCACTCACTGGGCCCTTAGCTTAAATATCTTACCATTTTGGGGCTGGGGAGTTGCCTCAGTGTTAAGAGTTGCTCTTTCAGAAGACCCAGGTTTGATTCCCAGCACCCACATGTTGGCTCACAACTATCTATAATTCCACTGCAATCTATATCTGCCGTGAAGCCATTGCCGCCTTCTGATCTCCAAGGGCACCAGGCTCACACGTAGTGCAATACATGCATGCAGGCAGAACATGCATAAGCATGAAATAAAATAAATAATTCTAAAAGGAAGATTAAAAGAAAGGAGAAGCATTGTTCAGTCTCCTGTTTTTATTTGATTGTTTTGAAATAAGATCTCATTATATTGTCTTGGTTGGCCTGGAACTTGCTGTGTAGACCAGGCTGACCTTGAACTCACAGTGATCCACTTGCCTCAGCCTCCCAAGTGCTGGGGTTAAAGGTGTGCACCACCGTGCTAGGTACCTAGGCCCTTGTTTAAGAAAACATTTGCCATCAGCTGCTGGAGTGTGGACAACAATGGTCTCAGCTGTAGAGAGCCACCTGGCCCTGGCCCTTCCCAGGTGACCACATAGAATGGTTGGTCCATTTTGCTACAAATGCTGGACACCTCTAACTGCCTTTCAGCTTTGGGCTGTAGGTCAGCAGATGTGCACAGTGGTTCTGCTGGTCCATCCCTTCTCTTCCACAGAGGTGGGTCCCAGGCCCGTGTTCTAAACTCCATCCATGCTTCCTTAGGACGTGACCTGCAACCTCCAGGAAGAAATGACAGCCAGTGTCCTAGAGATCAGCTCATATACTCTCTGGCCCTAGGGAGAGTGGAACAGCCCTAGGCTCTTTGTCTTCACGGTTAACCTCCTCCACAAGGGATGAAATCAACGGGGCAAAGCAGGCTCCAGAGCTCATCTGATCCTGAGTCACTGGTGCGAGTTGAACTCAGTGAGTCAGATGCTGAGTTGGTGGTCAGGTTGACCTGTATTAGAAATCAGCTCATTTCTCACCCAGATTAGCCCATTGGCATTCTTGCCATAGAAGGCCAAGAGCTTGACCCCCAGGATGGCCCCAGAGACCTCCCACATACTCTGCGGGCACAGTGATCTCATTGAAGGTAATCTATGCACATAAATTAGCATGTAATAATATGCACATAATGCTCTCATAAGGCCAGCATGCCTTCATGTGCTCACCAACTTATCTGTGCTTGGGACACCAGTAAACAGCAGACAGAATCCTTGTCCTCAGGCTTACGAGAACACTTGTCTAGCGTACATGCAAGGCTGTGTCCATGAAGCTTGGGTACAGTGTCAGCACCAGGAGAAAAATCACTATCTTCATGGGGTTCATATGACATTCACAGTTGTGAATAAGAAGCATATTACATTGGGTTAGTGCTTTGGTTTGAATCTGAGTGTATCCCAAGGATCCATGTGTTATACTGTAGGTCCTCAGGAAGGTGTATTGGGAAGACAACACACTCCAAAGGCAATCTGTGCTAGCAGGGCTGGTGGCAGGCAGCGGGCTGGGTGCCTAGACAAGGTCTCTGTCTGGATCCCCTGAGTGAATGTGTACTATTTGACATGGGCCTTATGCGCAGGAGAATTTAGCAACCCTTTCCCTCCCGGTGTGTGTGTGTGTATGTGTGTGTGAGGTGAATAGGGATTAACCTTCCTCTGGTCTGAGTGCAGACGTTGACGGTGTGTTCTAGAGTTTACACAGGATTGACCAGTGTGTACTTTAGCCAATAGAAATTGCAGTCTCCTCCTGGATGTTTACAACCTGTGGTTAAGGCCAGAGACTAGGCAGCCCCTCCCCCTGTGCTGTGCACAAGGACACACTGAGATCCTGGGCTGCTGCACAGTCCCTTGGCCCCAGCCTTCCTCTGTGTGTGTGTGTGTGTGTGTGTGTGTGTGTGTCCGTTCTTCTTCATTCTCTCACCACCCTACTTTGGGTTTCCAGACCCAAGTTGTGCAGGTGGAGGATTGGGAAATGCTCCAGAAAGAAAGGGAGCATCTGCTGTGGTTCTCCTCCAGGTGACCTGTGAGTGGAGAGGAGAGAAAAGAAACAGTGTGTATGAGGAAGACTCGGTGCTCGCTGCTGGGACAAGGTGGATACAAATGTAGCCTCTTAACATAAAATCCTTTATTCTGTCAGTTGTCGGGCAAAGTCTGGGCCTGGCTTCTCTACCCATGGTTTTCAGCAGGCGTGAGTTCCTTACCAGAGTTTGGTGATCATGGGCACAATTCATTATCCCGTTGCTATAAATCACGTGGCAGCTCACATCTTTAAGATATTGGGCCAGGAGATGGTGGTGCACACCTTTAATCAGAGGCAGGCAGATCTCTGAGTTCAAGGCTAGCCTGCTTTACAGAGCAAGTTCCAAGACAGTCAGGGTTACATAGTGAAACCATCTTGAAAAAAACAAACTTTTTTTTTTTTAAATTTATGTGTATGAGTGTTTGGTTCAAATGTCCAGAGGTCAGAGAAGGTGTTGGGTGCACGGGAGTCGCACAAAGATGGGGGACAGACCATCAAAGTCTATTAACCCAGAAGCAAAGTTTATTCCAGAAAAAAAATTAAAAATTAAAAATAAATCTCCACGGGGCACAAAAAGCTTATCAACTAGCTGAGACCACAGCCGGAGAAGGACCTCTAAGGCTGTGGCAAAGGATGGTTTCCAAACTCCTCCTTTTTATAACAAGAAGTGACAAGCATTAGGCATGAACAAGGGAGTTTTTACAATCTTGAGGTAAAACTCAGAAACAAATTGCCTTTCTTTGCAATTTTCATTAACAGAGCATTTTTAGTTAGAGTTAGTATTTACCCACTGTCCTCTGGCACTTTCTGATGGTGTTTACCAAAGCTCTACCCTCCCCTGATACTGCCAGCTTTGTGTAACAGGGAAGGGTATGGGAAAACGCACAACCAGAAAGTCAGGTACCTCCCATCATTTAAAAGACAACTCAACTCACATCAGTTGCTGGTCATGAGTGGCCAGGGGGTGGGTATCTAAAAGCGGATCCTCAGTTTGCAGAGAGCCGCTTCAGCCTTGCAGACAGAGCTGTGGGTTGTAAAGCGGAGTAACCCACTTAACCCACTGTTAATAGTTAATCCTCAAGCTGCTGAGAGAGCTGCTGACAGCCTGCTCTCCTTCTCCTAGACTTACAGCTTTGTATTTCATCTCTACACTCTTATTTCTGAAGTCTACATTTCTATCTTCTTATTCTTGGACTCCTCAAAGTCCTCAGATCCCCCTGGAACTGGAGTTCCAGGCAGTTGTGAGTTGGTATATAGGTGGTGGGAAATGAATCCTTGTGTTCTGGAATGGCAGCTAGTGCTCTTAACCTTTGAACCATCCCTCCAGACTCTGTTTCTCTGAGGCCTAGGAGACGAAGGAAGAGGGAAAGACTGTCTTTTCCTTAAGTCTCCGAGCATGGGGAATGCTGGCTTTTCATGCCAGCTCCAGCGGTAGGGAAGGCTTTCAAACTATGGGTAGATACTCCCTTCGTAAACTTTGAAAACCCTCAAGGCCCTGCTCCCCAGACTTCCCTAACTGTCCTAAAGGCTCTAAGGCCCACTCCCAGTCCAGAGGTGGGAGAGAGTGGCCAGGCCCTGGCCAACAAGAAAAAAATCCCACCAATTTCTGAGTTTGCCCCAAGATCTAGCCACATCAGCCCTCCAATCCCAGGCTACCCTGAACAGTTTTTAACCTCCCCCAACCCCATAAGAAAATATATATAAGCCCAGCCTTCCGCTCAATTTTCTGCTGCTTCTCACCCAGAGGCAGCAACTCTCCTGGGTTTTTCCCTCCCAGTAAATCTCTTATGTGAGGTTTGTTGTATGCTATGACATTGTGGTTTTCCTTGGCCCCCAACTGTCTGGATTGAACTGTAGCATTTACAGGCAAGGCCGAGACTCACATTTTGTCTGTCTATCTATCTATCTATCCATCTATCTATCTATCTATCTATCTATCTATCTATCTATCCATCCATCCATCTATCATCTATCTATCTATCTATCTATCTATCTATCTATCTATCTATCCATCCATCCATCTATCATCTATCTATCTATCTATCATCTATCTATCTATCTATCTATCTATCTATGTATTTGTTATCTACCTACCTACCTACCTACCTACCTACCTACCTACCTACCTACCTACCTAGGGTCTCACTGTGTAACCCTCTTAATTAATTAATTAATTGAGGTATGGTGTTACTATATAGCCTTGGCTGCTCCGGAACTCTCTATGTAGACGAGGTTGGCTTCAATCTTGCTGAGACCCGGCTGCTTCTGCCATTACTCTGGACTTCGGAGCTCTTTTAAAGGGCTTACTTGACTGGCTGTGGTGGTGCACACCTTAATCCCAGCACTGAGGAGGCCGAGGAAGGCAGATCTCTGTGAGTTCAAGGCCAGCCTGTTCTCCACATGGGTTTCAGGCAAGCCAGAGTTATATATGAACCCTGTCTTAGAAACAGCTCCCCACAAATGAACCAACAGTTCACTTGAGTAGGTCAAATCCATCAGCTAGTGTCACTACAGTTTGAACTGAACCTGAGTGGAAGCCTTCAGGATTTCATACCTACTGGAGCCCTTTGCATGTTACAGCAGGAATGCACGTGTGGGGGTGACACTACAGCACTTTTGCACACCTACCAGAGCCTGTTACACCAGGAGTGCATGTGTGTGGGGGGCACTACACCACTTTTGCACACCTACCCTCTACCTGTTACATCAGGCGTGCACGTGTGGGGGGGACTCTACAATACTTTTGCACACCTACCGGAGCACTCTGCCTGTTACATCAGGCGTGCACGTG